GATTATGATGGAGAAGGAGACAAACGTTGTAAGAGGGCAAGTCTATTTCTACGAAGCCTAGTTTCTGGAAGCAGAAAAAAAGACCAGGAAAACTGGCAGCATCTGATGGCAATACTGGGAAAAATTCATTTTCTTTATAAGCTAATTCTCCTACAATTCTGATATAAAGCGTAAATAATCTACGGTAGTTTCGTGACATCGCCACCCCTCCTGGCTGTTTGGATACACCAAGGCCTCAGTCAGGCTGGACATTTTCAAAGAGAATAAGGTATCATGTCCATGTCAGCTGGCCATGGTCATCAGAGTGGGGCTGGATGATCCATAACGGATTCTAGACACTCACTTGGTACAGGCTGGCTCACTAGATAATCCAATCAAGGGATTTTCTCCTTATATCGACACTCCCACATATAGCCATATAGACCCAGATCGGTAGAGCTGGAAAGAACTTTCATATTACAGATAAAGAGAATGAGTGCCAGAGAGGCCAAGCTGTTTGTTTAAGGTCACGTATGAAATGCTACAGTGGAGAGAAAGCTATACTTGGAGTCAGGAGAGGTCTGGGTTTGAATTCTGACCTTGATGCTCACTGACTTTTGAAAAAAAAAAAGAATCACCTGATCTCTGAGCCATTGTCCTTATCTGTAATATGGGGATAAAATGAAACCTGCAGCCTCCACTTCAGAGGGAGGTTTAGTGTTTATAAAACACTTGGTAAAAATTGTTGTGATTGAAAAGAAGGTGGGGTTTGGAGTGAGGTGACCCGACTTCCAATGCAGCCTGTCACTCATGCTTTGGTGACTTGGGGCGAGTCATTTGCCTCATTCTCCTCCCCTGTAAAATGAGGGGGTCAGACTAGATGAGTGCTAAGGCCCCTTTCTTTTTATATATAATCGTCAGCTATTATTAGTCAATGGCAGAGTCTGGACTTATTTGACCAGAAACATCTGCCCACTTGCTTCTTGCCCCATCCTGGCACTCTGTTCTGTGCCAGGTCCTGAGAGGGAGGGTGATAAATGGGCCTAGGTCCCTGCCCTTGGGTGAGAAATAGGGCATGGATATACTGGGAAAAGAGAAGCCGGGGCATCAGGCAAGTGCCCGCTGAGGAGGTGGGCACTGACCTATGGATGGTACACTGAGCTGGTTCTATGAGCAAACATCTGGCTCTCTTGGAGACCTTGCCCCTTGCTTCAGAACAGCAAACAGGCCCAGAGATGGGAAGGCATCTGCTCAGGGGGATTACGGCAAATGCAGCAAGGCCTCTGGGGAGGTGCGAGGTGGGCTGGGAGGTTAAGGAAGGCTCGCTTCATGGAAGTGGAGGATTTTAGAGGGCTGATGAGCAAGGAGTCACAGGCTTGGAAGCATTGGAAGCCCGTCTCTGCCACGGGCAGTGGAGGGAGCCATGGTCACCTACTAGGGACTGAGCCTTAGTTTTCTCCTCTGCAAATGGGGATGAAGAGAGGAGGCCTGGCACAGGATCATAAGCCACTTAGAGGTGGTATCTCAGAGGCTGCATAGTTGAATCTCTTCCTTTTGGAGATGGAGAGACTGAGGCCCAGAGGAGCTCCCAGGCTCCTAGGTTCTGGACTGAATTGGACCTTAGAGTGTGTTTAGTAGAAGGAATGTAAGCAGGATGCAAGACCAGAGCTTCTGACTGTAAACCTAGTGGGTTTTTTCCACTGTCCCATTTGTGAAGTCTGGAGTCCACGAAGGAGGCAGGGGAGATACATATATATATATATATATATATATATATATATATATAATATGTATATATGTGTATATGGAGAGAGTAACACAAGTGGGAAAAAACCCATAAGATTTCTTTTAATTCTCAAGGAAGGGAGTAAGCCCAGGAGTTGGGGTCCCTGGAAGGGTTGGGGGAGAGGGTCAGTTGCCATGTACAAGAGTGACAAAGAGACTGAGGGAACTCAAGGCGAGAACACCGGTCATCACCGCTCGGACCAGCAGCGCTGTCCAGCTGCCCAAGGAGAAGAGGTGGACAAAAGCCCTGGGAGGAAGGAAGAGTGAGGGAGAATGGAGTCTCCTCCTGTCCCCTCCTTGGAGGCAGACCCCACCCGGCCTCCCCTAATGGGTTACACCCCTCACTCACTCCAGGATGAAGGCTTTGTAGACACTGATGCCCAGGAGGACAGTCAGTGGGGGGCGGAAGTTTCGTGGCAGGTCATATCGAGTGAACATCCACACTAGGGCAGAGACTGCAATGTAGTGGACCTAGGGTCAGAGGTTGAAGGTCAGTCAAGAGACAGGGGTCCACAGGGCAAGGGTGGCGGCAGGGTGAGGCAGTGTGTGGGGGGGGGGTTGTCGGGTCACAGTTACCAGGCTGATGTTGGAATCAATGCTCATCTGGATGTATTTCCAATCGAACTCGATGCCCCGGGCCCCGACCCAGAGAGGGATACAGCTAGAAGAGAGGAGACAGGGGCTGGTGGCTCGGGCCAGCCTGGGGAGCTGGGAGTCTACTCTTCTCTGCCCCATCCCCAGTGGCCCCAAGACAGGGGTCCTGCACAACCTACACACCGGGACATGATGAGCTCTGCCGTGGCCCAGCCCAGGGCTGCCACCATAACCTTGTACTCGCCTTTCCCCGCGTTCCGAGACATGACGAGGTGGAGGCCCACAAGGTCACCCAGGTCCACGGTTGCCTTCATGAATTCCTGGTAGATGGGATAATTCCCAGAGTTTAGAACTGGAAGAGGCCTCAGAGATCACCCAGCTGAAACGCCGCATTTCTCAGAGGGGGGACCTGATCTCTTCAAGATCACAGAGCCAGTCAAGCTAAGCCAGAATCTAAACCCAGGTCCAGCTCCTAATCCAACACAGTGCTCTTTGCCCGCTCCCTCCCACCTGGCAGTCCCCGGCTCTGCCTCCCCACCTCTGCCTCCCCCCAGTGCCGCGTCTTGCCTCCCCATCATCTCCCAGGAGCCACTCACCCCTATGAAATCGTAGATACCAGCTCCACCTTCCCATGTGGGGAAGAAGGTTGCGAGAAACAGCATCTGGGGGACAGAGGGAGGGCTTAGAGGGGTGCAAGGAGGGGCCAGGGCAAGGCCAGCCTGCTGACTTCTCTCTCACCTTGCACAGCTGCACGAAGAGATAGGTGGCTCCTGCCTGCACACATTTCCAGAAAGCGTTGTACTCTGACCTGAGTGCGGGAGGGATTCCTGCAGGTGAGAGCCAGGACCAAGAAGCGCGGACCCCTCCCCACCCTGCAGCCCAGGCGGCCCTCACTACTCACAGCCCACTGCACTTGTACGTGATGAAGTAGGGGAAGTAGGCCAAGGCAAAACAGTTCCCAAAGTGGAACAGGGTCATGGTGGGCCTTTGGCCGGCCTTCGTGGCACCTGTGCTGGCCAAGAACGGACAAAGCTCCCTCAGCCCTCCAGGTATCCCTCTGCCTTCCCCCCACCCCCACCTTCTCTGGCAGTCAGATGGAGACCCTTCTTTTAGGGTTCCCAGGAAGGTGGGCCTTCAGCCCCTTGGAGACCCTAGCCTCTGGCCACTGCTCTTCAGTTCCCTTTGAGACTTAGAGGGACTCAGGTGTCCTGACCCCAGCCTCCAAAGGGGTGTAGGGGTCCAACTCCCAACCTCTACCCTCCAAGGGGCCCCAGGTAGCCTGTCCCCAACCTCCACTCACCCACCAAGGGACACATGCATCCTGTCCTCCGTCTCCATCCCCCCCTAAAGGGACACAGGTTTCCTTCCCCTGCCTCTATGCTCCAAGGGGCCACAGAGGCCCAGCCCCCAGCCTCTATTCCCCAAAAAGAGCCTGGCATCCACTCCTGCCCCTGGCCTCCACCTTCCAACCCACCTCCTACCTCCCCAAGGAGAGCCAGGTGTCCAGCCCTGCCCCCTGGGTCTCCCCCTCCAGAGAACCAGGTGCCCAGCCCTGCCCCCTTGCCTGCGCCCCTCCCCCCGAGCCAGGTGTCCAGCCCTGCCCCCCCCCCGCTCGCGACACCTCCCCCCCCCGAACCAGGTGTCCAGCCCTGCCTCCCTGCCTGAGCCCCTCCCCTCAGTCAGGTGTCCAGCCCTGCCTCCTGCCACCCCGACTCCAGGAGAGCCAAATGTCCAGTCCTGGACGCTGCACTCTCCGGATCTCTCCGAGTGCCCCACGGGCCACGAGCGGCCCTGACTCACCCGCCGCTCCTCTAGGACTTCCTGCGCACGCGCCAAACTCAATCGACCTTTTCCCCCTCTGCGCACAGCAGGCCGGGAATAGTAGTTCTCCGCCTCAAACCCCCTAAGCACACGTGACGTCGGCGCCCGCGTCGTGGGGGCGGAGTCATCCGGGATGGGGGCGGAGTCAGCCGGGATAGCTGAGGCGCGCGGGGCGGGGCCATACTGCGGATGCTCCACGTGGTCGAACTCTGAGAATCTCCCCCACCTCTTCCGACACCCGTGCTCCTGTCTTCCTCACCGCCTCCTGGAGCCTACCCCTACTCGTGCGACCCCCACCCCCATTTCCACCCCATGCAAGACCTATATACACGCAGAGACACGTGCACAGGCAGACCCAGGACTGAGAGAAAAAGGCAGGGACACCCAGGCGCGGAGAAGGGAAGGCAATATAGACCGGGCACACACGAGCCCAGACGGGCAAGATGCCCAGACACACAAGCAAAGACGTGCACAAGCTGATAATGCACAGAGACTGAGACGACGCAGAAGACATTGATGCTATATAGACAGGCGACACAGGTACAGGCAAGATAAGTGACACACAGAGACACACAAAAACACAGACACCCCCCCACACCCACACACAGGCACATGTATAGACAGGTAAAAGAGACCCACAGGGAGGCAAGTAGGACGCAGATAGATGCACAGACAGGCATGATAGAGACAGATACAGAGACACTTTACACAGAATAGTGAAGCAAGACACACAGGCCTGGGCGTGTGTATAGACAGGCAAAACACAGACACGTGCAGAGACAGACAAGACAGAGACAGAAATACATATGCGCACACACAGACGGGAAAGACACCCCGACAACCATAGGCGGAGGTGACCACACACACTGCGGCATACAGAGCCGCCAGAGGTAGCTTCCTATCGGGTGCTGAGATGTTTATTGGACATGTTGGCACTATCTCTCGGGTACCCTCATGTGGAGTCGCCCCTGAGGGAAGGAGCGGGGAGGAGCGGTGCTGGAAGGGCAGGGAGTAGTTCTCAGGAGGAGATACGTACACACACAGACACACACACAACGGACACGGTGACCCCCGACCCCAAGCACAGCCCGGGAAGTGGTGGGTGTGAGTGTTGGCAGGACAGGGACAGCTGATGGAGATGCTCGCATTGGGGGTGGAGGGGAGGGGGCGACCCCGGCGGACCACACCAGAATGAGGTCCCGGCGGTGAGGGGAAGGAGCACACTGTGCCCTGCGTGGGTAGACTCAGAAGCGGGGCTCCCCTCCCCCTCACTTCTCTTTGCTGTTCATATGACTCATAAGATCGACCACCCGGTGGCTGTAACCGTATTCGTTGTCATACCTGGGGTGGGGGGCACGGTCCGCGTCGGTGGGATGGGATCAAGGATTCCCTCCACCTCTACAGGGACCCACCCCGACCTCCCTTACTTTTCCCAGCTCACCAGGAGATAAGTTTGACAAAGTTGTCATTGAGAGATATGCCGGCCTTGGCATCAAATATAGATGAATGAGGGTTTCCGATGATGTCAGAAGAGACCACCTAGTGAACAGGGAGTCATTTGAACGAAGGAGGCAAGGATAAGGAATGAGAATGCACCCACCCCTCACTGCAAATGGATCTTTCTTTCTGGGAGTGGGGGGCTCATGCTCAGCGACAGTTCATGCTGCCCCCCACCCCCCACTCCAGGCACCCACAGCCCCAAGTCCCCACCTCATCCTCGGTGTAGCTGAGGATACCAGCCATCTGCCCCCTGGATGCTTTCTTCATAGCCTCCTTAATGGTATCATAATTGGCTGGGCGACTTAGCCGGCATGTGAGGTCCACGACAGAGACGTCAGGGACTGGGACCCTGAATGCCATCCCTGTTATTTTCCTGAACACACCATAGGCAGGAGAAAGGATCAGAACAACTCAGGGATCCATGATGTTGGCCTCTACCCTTGCTTCCCCCCACACCCCTTTTAGTGTCCTCAGTGCCATTCAGCTCCCCCACCCCAGATCTTCAGATTACTGTTCCCACTACTTCCTTCTTGTTACCCCCATTCTCAAAGGAAGACAGGAACCCAGGCTTCATACCCGTCAAGTTCAGGGATGACTTTTCCTACAGCTTTGGCAGCACCAGTGGTGGCTGGGATAATGTTCTGGTGGGCACCTCTGCCATCCCGCCACGACTTGACTGAGGGACCATCCACAGTCTTCTGTGTTGCTGTGTAAGAATGAACTGTGGTCTGGGGGGAGAGGAGGGAGATGAAACCTTAATGTTCATTCCAGTTTACTCCAGCTTGGATTTCTTCCCTTCCCACAGTATTGGAGGGAGAGAGAGAGAGAGAGAGAGAGAGAGAGAGAGAGAGAGAGAGAGAGAGAGAGAGAGAGAGAGAGAGAGGGAGAGAGAGAGACAGAGACAGAGACAGTCAGAGAGACAGACACAGACAGAGACACAGAGAGAGAGAGAGAGAGAGACAGATACAGAGAGATAGAGTTAGATTTCAGGAAGGCCCTGTCACTCTCAACCACCTCCATCTCTACATTCTTCCCTCTCATTCCATATGATCCCACATTACCCTTTCCACTTGATGCTTACCATAAGTCCCTCCACTATCCCAAAATTATCATGGATGACCTTGGCTATGGGGGCCAGGCAATTGGTGGTACAGGAGGCATTACTAGAACAGAGAAGGATGAAGTAGAGTGGGATGGGGAAAGACATCAGAATCTATGGCTTCGACAAAACTAAATATGGGTGGAGAATGGCTAATTCTTGCATGTAAACGTAAGAGGATGTTATTACCTCACAAGAAATGATGACTGTGAAGAGTTCAGAGAAACATGAGAGGATTTATACAAACTGATGCAAAAATGTGCCCAGTAAGCAGAATCAGAAAAACCATATGTATATATATATATATATATATGTATATATATGTATATATATGTGTATATATATATATACATATATATGTATATATATGTGTATATATATACACACATACACACACACATATATACATATATATATATGTATATATATATGTATATATATGTGTATATATATATATACATATATATATGTATATATATGTGTATATATATACACACATACACACACACATATATACATATATATATACATATATACATACATATATATATATGTATATATACATAGAAAGAGCTTCTCTTGGACAAATGAAACTGAACATGGATTATAATGACCCCAAAGAAGTAGATGAAAGTATATCTTTGTCCCTCTTTTGCAGAGGTGAGGAGCTAAAGGTAGGGAATATTATATATAGTGTTAGACTAGGTTGATATATTGGTTAGTTGTGCTCAGCTTTTTCTTTTGCTCTTCATTTTTTTTTTCTTGGTTACAAGGAACGGATCACTCAGGGAAAGGGATATGTTCAGAAATGAAGATGATGTTGAAACAAAATGTATCAATAGAAATAAAATCTTCAAAAGCAGCAAAGGGGAACACCTTTAGGGGATGGCTCAAGATACCAAGGTCAGAAGGACCACATCAGAAGCATAGCCACTGGAAGAGCCCCACCCAGATCACCCAGTTACCTGACAACAGTCATGTTGTTGGGGTTATAGGTGTTCTCATTAACACCCATGACAAACATGGGAGCATCAGGGGATGGAGCAGAGATCACCACTCGACGAGCTCCAGCCTTGATGTGGGCCTAGTGGAGAGGCCAGTATAATTATCATGCCCACATTCCAGAGGACCCCCCCCCACCTCGACACCTGGTTCTGAGCCCCCTCATTTACTCCACGTGCCCTTTTTCTCACCGAGGCTTTTTCTGTTGTGAGGTTCAATCCAGTGGATTCTACCACGTACAGGGCTCCAGCAGTCTTCCAGGGGATTTCTTCAGGTTGCGTGCTAGGGGAAGGGGAGGAGAATATTCCATGAACCCCTGGTTCCACCCTCCCCCTCCAATACCATTAATTTTCTTTCTTTGATTACCCTATTACTTCTCTTGCCAGTTCCCTTGGTGGGAGCCATGAAGGATCAATCAAACCCCCCACCCAAGTTACACACACCATTTTGAGATGCCTTTCTTTCCCTTCCTTCAAAAATCTAGCTCAACTCATTCCTGCTTAGAAGCTTCCCCGGTTAACTGTACTGCAGTCAGCAGTTAAGCATACTAGAATTAAAATCAGAAAGTCCTGAGTTTCGAATCCTGCCTCGTACACTTGCTAATCGGGTGGACCCCTGGGGCAAATCACTTAACCTGAGTCTCAGGTATCCATCTGTAAAATGGAGATAATTACAGCTAATGTCTTCCCCTCTGCATGCATGTTGTATGTACCTATTTATGCCCATAGGCAGCTATGTGGTGCAGTGCATACAGTGTCAGGCCTGAAATCAGGAAGGCTCATCTTCTGAGTTCAAATGTTGCCCCAGACACTTCCTAGCTGTGTGACCCTGGGCAAGTCATTTCACCTTGTTGGCTTTAGTTTATTGTTCAGTCATTTTCATCCATCTCTGACTCTTCATGACTCCATTTGAGGGTTTTTTTTTGGCAAAGACACTGGAAGGATTGGCCATTTCCTTCTCCAGCTCATTTTACAGATTAGGAAATAGAGGCAGACAAGGTTAAGTGACTTGCCCAGGGTCACACAGCTAGTAAGTATCTGAAGCCAGATTGGAACTCAGGAAGATGAATCTTCCTGACTCCAGGCCCAGCACTTTATCCACTATGGTCCCACCAAATGGGCTGGCATGGTTACCTGGAACACAGCAAGTACTTAATAAAAACGCTTGTTGATTCATTGATTAGCCTGTGTTCCATTGGCAGTACAGGGGAATGATCATTTCTGTCATTTATAGGCCATTGAGGTTGAAAAGAACATTCGGGCTCATCTAAGATCTCTAAGATCTTTGACTTGGCTAAGAATTAGACGCTACAGGTTGAAATTCTAGAGGGTCAGATTTTTGACTCGATGTAAGAATACTCTTTGAAACAGTGAAGGGAGTCTAAGAGTGCAACGGGCTGCCTTGGGAGATGTGGGGTGCCCCTTTCAACAGGGGACCTTGTGTTGGCTATATTGCAGAAAGGATCTCAGGTGGATATTGGTTAGACTCAGGGGCCATGCAGGTCCCTTTTCACCCTTAAATGGTGTGAGTAATAGATCCAGTCTCTTCATTTGAACTTAAGAGGACCAGGGATCCAGTGGTTTGCCAAAGATCACACAGAGAGTCATAGCTGAGCTGGGATTCCTGGGGAGTCCAGTGCTGACAGGTTTCTAAAAGTTGTTTGTGATCTCTACTAAACTATAGACCCCTTGAGGCTGTGTCTTTGTTTTAGCTGTCCGTCGTTCTGTATTCCAGGAAAGCTCTTCAGGTGGTAAACTTGGTAACTGGCTCTGATTTTCCCACACCTATCTTCCTACTTTGCTCCCATTCAAATCTTCCTGTGGCTAGCCCCAGAGAAAATGTCTTACCACTGGAAGACACGAATCTCCTGTTTGTTTACCACCAACTTTCCGTCCTTAACTTCAACAGAACCGAAGAATGGACCATGAGTAGAGTCATACTTGAACATATATTCCTTAGGGAAAGAGAAGGATAATGTGTGTTGGGGAGGAGGAGAGGCAATGCTGAGGGCAGGGGGAAGCATCCTCAGGAGACCTCACTCCCATGCATGGCAGGTGAGACTTGGGGCTTCCTCCTTCTTCCTGTTCCCAGGACCTTTCCTTACCATGTAGTTGACGTCGATGAATGGATCATTCACTGCGACAACTTTTATTCCTTTCTCTATGCAGGCTCGCAGCACCAGACGCCCAATACGTCCGAATCTGATGCAGGATGAAAGAATCAGATGTGATCAGGAGCCCTCCACCCACCAATCCCTATCAAAATTATCAGGGTGTGTGTGTGTGTGTGTGTGTGTGTGTGTGTGTGTGTGTAGGGGATTAAAATGTAAAGGATTAAGGAAGGTTGACTAAGAAAGGGCATTGGAAGTGGTTGGGGGTTGGGGGAACCTGGAAATGGTGCTCTTGGTTTTAGGAAGAAAGAAATTCAGGAAGATTTTTTAGGGTGTGGAATGATAGGAGGAGTGGGGGAAGAGGAAGATGGGTTTATATATACTACAATTTTCCTCTTATACTCCACTCAGAAGGGAACTCTCAGGGAAGCCTGAGGTCATGTGGTTTCAGTATGGAGGGAGCAAATCAGAAAGGAAGATTTACCCATTGATGCCCACTGTTAACCCAGAACTTCCGCGTATTACTCTGGGAGACGCTTGGCCATGGGATCCAGTCTTGCCTGAAACTGATGCTGCATTTGTTTCTGATTCTGTTTGCTGTGATTTGCCACCTGGTCATTTTGGATGAGATGAGGGGGAGACAGACAGACAGACAGACACACACACACACACACACACACAGAAAAGACAGAAACCTTCATTAGGTTGCTCTTTATGGACAGAACTCACTTCCACATTATGAGAAGGGATACAACAAACACAAAAAATAATTTCAGCCTTGGAAGAACAAACAAACTGGTTGAAGTGACCAGTTAGACAGACGTGAAAGAGAGTGCCAGCTAATGTGATGTCACTTCATACTTGTAGTTGGCATTCTTGGTGACAAACTGTTTTTTCTCTCTTGATATCACCAAATACAAAATTATGTGGTCAAGTTCAAATAGCACATAAATGCTGGATGGTATAGAATTGAGCACTATATCCTGGAGAAGAGGAACTTTAATCCCATGTAACAAATAGTATTTTTAAAGTAAAAAAAAAAAAGAAAAAAGGGAAAAAGTCAGTATAACATCAATACGTTGAAAAAATTCTAAAAAACATGTGCAATGTGCAACACTTGTGAACCTCCCACCTCTACAAAGGGGTGGGTGGGAGTATCTTCTCATATCTCCTCTCATGAGCCATCCTTGTTTATAACTTTGCAACATTCAATTTGAGGTGGTGGTGGTAATGGTGGTGGTGGTGGTGGGTTGGTTTTTTCCATTTACATCATCGTAGTTATTTAATATATTGCTCTCTTGGCTCTCCTTTTTTTTTTTCCTCAAAGGCTCCAGAAACTGGGAGCCCACCTCCTCTTTTTTAAAAAAATTTTTTTTTATTAATTTATTTTGATTTATCAACAATCACTTCCATATGCTTTTGAGTTGAAAATTTTTCTCCCCCTTCCTCCCCCCCCCACCCTCCCAAGACGGCACACAATCTGATGTAGGCTTTACCTTTACATACCCATTAAACATATTTTCACATTAGTGAAGCTGTAAGTAAAAATTAAAACCAATAGGAGGAACCATCAGAAAGATGAAACAAAACTCAACAGAAGGTAAAAATAAGTGATAGCAATTCAACTTCCATAGTTCTTTCTTTGGATGTGGACAGCATTTTCCATCCTGAGGCCTCTGGAGATGTCTTAGATCCTCATAATGCTGAGAAGGGTTCAGTTTAACAATCCTAGTTATTGCATAACATGGCTGTTATTGTGTACAAAGTCCTCCTGGTTCTGCTCACTTCACTCAGCATCAGACCATATAAGTCTTTCCAGGTTTTTCTGAAGTCAGCCTGTCCATCATTTCTTACAGCACAATAGTATTCCATTACATTCATATCCCACAACTTGCTCAGCCATTCCCCAATGGATGGGCATCCTCTCAATTTCCAATTCTTTTTGGCTCTCCTTACTTCACTCAGCATCAGTTCACATAGATCTTTCCATGCTTCTCCACGTTCACTTGGCATTATTTCTTACAGCACAGTAATATTATTCTATTACATCACCACCATTTTTTTAGCCTTCTCCCAATCGATGATCATTTACTTTGTTTCCAATTCTTTGTTATCATAAAAAAATGCTGCTAGAAATTTTAGTGCATGTGGGGATTTTCTTTTTACCATTGACCTCTTTGCTGCTTAAGCCCAGTAATGGAATTTCTGAGTCAAAGCATATGGACGTTTTAGTAATTAATTCCAAATTGTAGTCATTTACTTTCAAGGGTTGGTGAAAAGGAATCAGAAAGACAATTATTATGGTGGGGAAGGTGGAACAAAATTGTGTGAAGGAAACGTGAGCAGATTAACTGGGCTTTTAACAGGGGGAATGGATGTGGAAGAAACCAAAGTGATTAATATATGAATGTTAGAGTGACACCAAAGTTTTGGAAGGGTAGAGAAAAATATGAGGACTAGAGAGCTTGGAGGGCTTTGTTTTGTGTGATAAGACAAAGAGGTCAAGTCTTGCAAAGGCCAGTTTAATAGAATTATTCCTTTGTGCATTGAAAAGAGCAATGGATGTGGGATCAGAAGACTTGGCCTCAAATTCTGGAGCAGCTGGTTGATTCCTCCGGGTGCCTGTTTGTGAAATGAGGGGTCTAGATGCTCTGGATGACATTGAAGATTTCATTCTCACCATTCCTTTTAAACTTCCACAATCCTAATGAACCCAAGGCTCTGACAGGAGGATGGTATTGAAGGGAAAAGATAGAGATGCGGACTGGAACTCAGGAGCCCTGAGATGGGACTTTGTCTCTGCTAGTCTTAATATGAAACATCTGATAGATATAGCCTGAGGTGTCTCAGTGTCAATAAGTGTTAATACGCAATGATAATAATTTTCTAGTGATGGCAATTCAATAGTTACTGGTGACTATGAGTGTTTTTATCCTTTTCAGAAAAGTTTAGTGGTCTTTCTCTCTGGGTTTCCTATTCCCCCAAATAGGGGCAATTGTTATCCCTTTCCTCTACCTCCTGGCTCTGGGAGTGGAACTTCAAGGAACAAGTTAAGAAGCCTTTTCATGGGAAGGACTCAATCCAGAAACTACATTCCCCCTCCCTCCTCACCCCCAAACCAGGCTCCTGGAAAGCAGGACTACCCCAGGGCCTAGAAGATGAGTACCATGGACAGCAGAGAAGAAGCACTAGGAAGGATAGTTGCTAGGGTTAGGAATGCAATCCCAGCCTTTGCTGGTGGAGGACCAGAGTGCCATTATTATAACTGTGCTAAGAAGGGAAGGATTCTATCCAGTTCTGGCTGTCAACTTTAGTATCTTCAAAATCTTTCCAGATAAGGAGCCTAGCTAGGCTAACGCCCGTTGTGGGGAACATGGGCTGATGCCTTTCTGTTCCCCCCAATTTCCTCAACACCTCTTACGCAGAGGGGAAAGAGGCCATCTCAACCCCTTCGTTTTACAGATGAGGAGACTAAGGCCTAGGGAGGAAGTTAAGTGACTTTACTTTGGATCAGCATCAGAGAGGTAGACTGTGAACACCACAGAGCCTATGATTCCACAGTCAGAGTTTTCTTCTCGCTGTATTAGCATCTCCTCTCTCTCTCCCTCTCCCTCTGCTCTCTCTCTTTCTCTCTCTCTCTGTCTCTGTCGCTCTCTGTCTCCGAACTTCCCCTTCCCTCCATCCCTTTCTTTACACACATCCCTTTCTCCAAATTTCAGCTTCCCTTGAAGCCCCACTCCCGTCCTAATTACGAGAGCCTTTGATGCCCCCTGTCCTTCCTCCCCAGGCTTTTTTTTCCCCCCCACCTCGGAGGGAAGGGGCGTCTCTCCTGCAAGGATCGCCTGCCGCGTGACTTTAGACTACAGGTCGCCCCTGTAAGACCTCGACCTACAGGAGCAGGTGAGCGGGGAAGGAGGGTCTGGCCACTCCTCGGGGAGGAGGCACGTAGTGTCTGCCGGAATCCCCCTTGGACCTCGAGGGCACAAGGAGGCTCGCTCAGAGCAGGCCGACTGTTCCTTTCCCGGGTAAGTGGGGCAGTGACCTGGGCTCCAGGGGGCGTGCAAGACCCCACAGGTGTGTCCGCTCCACGCCCCCTTGTCTTGGGCGAGGTGACTCACCGTGTCGCCGCAGCTGGACCACGGTGACATTGGTGAGGATTACGTCTCGTTTCGGCATGGCCTCAGCCTCTCATGGCCTCTCAAATTCTCATGGCCCGGGTCCACCTTGTGTCCCCGCTGCGATGTTACTGAGGCTTCCCGCTGCCCAGCTTTCTGAGTTCTTAGAGGTCCGGCTGTGCCGTCACAGTGCCCTTCCCCTCTGAGCAGCACCCTGACCTCACAGAAGAAGGTACCCACTAGGGCGGCGGAGATCTGAGGCAGAGCCAGCCGTTCGTCTTGTCTCCTCTTCCCTCTAAAAGACCAGATATTACACGCGGTCTACACGCTGAGCACACGCTAGACTCACGCAGAAGGAAGGCTGAGCCTCGTCTACACCCAGCAGGAGAACGTGGTGACCAGGAAGGGTCTAAGTCCAGGCCCCAAAGTACTTCCTCGCTGTAACCTTGCCCTCTGAGGTGGGCGATGCTGTGCTCAGGTGGAGCCCTGCCCTTCTTCCCTGCCACCTATGATTTGGTGGTGAGTGTCCAGGAAGGGAAGGGAATTTATTAAGCTCTACTATATGGCAGGCACGGGTTCTAAACGCTTGACAAATCCTATCTCCTTTGATCAAGGCTAGATACTAGATTGGTCGCCAAAGATAGGAGAAATGCTCGTGGGGAACCGATTTTCCTAATTGGGACAATATAACCATAAAGATATTATCCAAGGCATAGTGGAAAGAGTGCTGGCGCCTAAGTCAGAGGAGTTCAAATCCCATCTGACACTTATTGCTGCACTGTCTCTGGTAAAGTGTGGAGGTTGGGTTCTATCATCACCCCTTCAGAAGGTCCCTTCCCACTGTGAATCTTTGAGTATAAACCAGGTTCTGCTTCTATTTAAATCCCCAATCTATTTTTTTTTTTGCTTTGGCAATTAGGGTTAAGTGACTTGCCTAGGGTCACACAGCTAGTAAGTGTTGTGTCTGAAGCTGGATTTGAACTGTGGTCCTCCTGACTCCAAGGCCAGAGCTCTATTCACTGCACCATGCAGTTGCCCCTTCCAATCCATTCTAAGAAGAAACCTGTAGAGCTGACATATCTCTCCTAGGTAGGGGAATGAACCTGCCAGAGAAAGGAGGAGGATCATGTAATTGATAAAATGGTCTCCCTGCCCCACCCCCAACTGCTAGTGTCTTTCCATCTGAGATTATCTTTCATTTACTATTTATCTTGTTTATGCCCAGTTATTTATATGTTGTCTCCTCAGAACGTGAGCTACTTGGGATTGTTTTTGTCTTTCTTTGACTCTCCATCATTAGCACAGTGCCTGGCATGTAGCAAGGCACTTAATAAATGCTTGTTGGCCAACTGTTTGTTGATTGCTTTGTCGACTAAGATGATCTCTCTGTGTGTCTGTGTGTGTATGCTGCAGAGCTATAGAAATTCCAGAGGTCATTGTTACAGGGAATGGAATTTAGAATAATGTGGTTGGAGAGGTGGAGAAATAGAGAAGGATGGGGATGGAGGAGGAAATATGGAAATGGCTCCCTGATATTTATGCACTCACAAGATCTCAATATCTACATGGTGATCTATGAGGTCACATCTGATTGGCTCTTTATCACACTCCCTGGTCAAGTGGTGTGGTTGATGTCTTTTGACTCTCAGCATAAATTGTATTTAAGTAAGGCAGAGTTGGAAGAAGTCATCCTAGAGTTAGGGTGCATCTCAGCCAACTCAATGCTGATGAACTCACATTAATTAGTGATAAGGACATGATCCTGGAGAGATGGGCTGAACACTTGCATAGTGTCCTCAACAGACTGTCATCAATCAATGCTGAAGCCATTGACTATTTACTTCAGGTTAAAGTCAATTCCTTCCTAGCTGAAGTTCCAGCTGAAGAAGAGCTTTGGAACGCCATTAGGCTCCTCTCATGTGGCAAAGCACTTGCTGCTGATTCTTTTCCTGCTGAGATCTACAAGGGCCATTGCTCTTACAAAAGCTGGCTGAAATTTGCTGGGTTATATGGCAAGAGGAAGTGATCCCCCAGGAGTTCAAGGATGCCTTCATTGTCCATGTCCATAAAGGAAAAGGAAATAGGTTGTCTTGTGACAAACACAGGGGTTTCTTTCTCTTAGTCATTGCTGGCAAGATTCTTACCAGAGTCTTCCTTAATAGGCTTATCCTTCACCTGGAAGATGGTCATCTATCCGAGAGCCAGTGTGATTTCAGAAAGAGCCAAGGAACAGCTGATAGTGTGTTTGCTGCCTGACAGCTCCAGGAGAAATGTCAGGAGCAGAACAGAGGTCTTTATCCAATGTTTCTCCATCTGACCAAGCCTTTTGTTATTGTCAGTTGTGAGTGCTTATGGAAAATCATGGCAAAATTTGGTTGTCCAGAGAAGTTCATCAGTATGGTGCCTCAGTTTCCTGATAGTATACTTGCATGGGTTCTGGATAATGGATTATGCTCTTGTGTTTCCCCAGTCACCACTGGAGCGAAGCAGAGCTGTGTGCTTGCTCCCAGGCTTTTTAGCATGATGCTTTCAGCAACATTGTCAGACATCTTCAATGAGCATTAGGGTCAGCTATTGCATTGAAGGTAAATTATTTAACTTGGAAAGGCTACAAGCCAAGACTAAAGCAGAGAAGAGTTGGTGAGTGATTTTTTTGTTGTTGTTCTCAGATGACTGTGTACTCAATGTAGCTGAGATGCAACAAAGTATGGATGGATTCTTTGGTGCTTGTGCTAATTTTGGCCTAACAATCAACACCAAGAAAACACAGATTCTCCACCAGCCAGCACCACATCATCCATACATGGAACCATTGGTTTCAGCAAATGGAACAAATTTGAATGCTGTGGGTAAGTTCACTTACCTTGGCAGTATACTTTCCAGATATGTACACGTTGAAGATAAAGTTGATGCACATATTGCCAGAGCTAGCTCAGTGTTTAGGAGGCTCCGTAGGAAAGTGTGGGAGAGAAGAGGTATTAGACTGACTACCAAACTGGAGGTCTACAGAGCCCTTGTGCTGACCTCATTATTGCATGCCTGTGAAAGCTGGACAGTCTACCAGCGCCCTGCCAGGAAACGGAATCACTTCATTTGAATTGTCTTAGAAAGACTCTGAACACCTGGCAAGACAAAATAACCAGACACTGAGGTCCTTTCCCAAGACAAATGGCCGAGGGTTCAAACTCTGCTGCAGAGAGCACAAGTCTGATGGGCCTGCCACGCTCAGACGCCAAATGTACGTTTGCTTACAAGACTATTTTACAAAGGACGCTCACAAGGCCGGCGCTCGCATGGGAGTCACAAGAAGGGATATAAAGACACACTCAAGGCCTCTCTGAAGAACTATTTGTGCCCAACCTGTGTAGAACATTCTGCACTCATATTGGTCCAATCAGCCACAGTTGGACATACTGTACCTTGGCCCCCAACATATTGATGTCAGGAGGCAGCTAGATGGTGCAGTGGATAGAGTACTGGCCCTGAAATCAGGAGGACCTGAGTTCAAATCCGGCCTCAGACTAAATACTTGACACTTACTAGCTATGTGACCCTGGGCAAGTCACTTAACCCCAATTGCCTAAAAAACAAACAAAACCCCCCCCAAAATATTGATGTCATCTTGGTCCTCCACGAGAATGAAGGACAATAACCACCACACCCCCTACAAAGCCTGCTCCAAATCTTCTCTCCCCAAATTCCCAACCCCACTCTCACTGTCCTTTCCTCATTTCCCTACTTAACACCTCAAAAGCTATTTTACCTACCCTTCCCTCCTTTTCCTCCATTTCAGGGAGAAAAGGTAGCTGTCTTCCATACCAAGGTTAACCCTTCCCTTTGTGCCTTGATCCCATCTCTTCTTGGACCTTAAAATTTATCATAATTCAACTCATTTCAATGAACACTTAAGTGTACAATGTACCTGGAATAGTCTTTAATTGAATACTGTGTACCAATCACTTCTCTACTTTATTCTCTTTCTTTTTCTCACCTTAAATAATTATAGGACCACCTCTTCATCCTAGCTCTGCCCTTTGGGGCAAAGCAGATCAAGGCTAATCTCTCTTCCATGAAAATCCCTCAAATATTTTCAGGCTGCTTTCCCATGCCCTCTCTCCTCTCCCACAGCTCAGCCCACATCTTCTCTTCTTTTCCCTTTCTTTTTTTATTAATTTATTTAGATTTATCAACAATCACTTCCATATGCTTTTGAGTTTAAAATTTTTCTCCCCCTTCCTCCCCACCACCCTCCCCAAGACGGCACACAATCCGATATAGGCTATACATATGCATTCCTATTAAACATATTAGTGATGTTGTAAGTAAGAATTAGAACCATTAAGAGGAACCACCAGAAAGAGGAAACAAAACTCAACAGAAGAAAAAAAAATAGCAAACAGTATGCTTTGATCTGCATTCAAACTCCATAGTTCTTTCTTTGGATGTGGATGGCATTTTCCATCATGAGGCCTTTGGAGATGTCTTAGATCCTTGTATTGTTGGGAAGGGTTAAGTTTATCAGTATTAGTCATTGCACAACATGGCTGTTACTGTGTACAACATTCTCTTGGTTCTGCTCACTTCACTCAGCATCAGACCATACAAGTCTTTCCAGGTTTTTCTGAAGTCAGCCTGTTCATCATTTCTCATAGCACAGTAGTATTCCATTGCATTCATGTACCACAACTTGCTCAGCCATTCCCCAATTGATGGGCATCCTCTCAATTTACAATTCTTCGCCACCACAAAAAGATCTGCTATAAATATTTTTGTGCATGTGGGTCCTTTTCCCATTTATATGATATCTTTGGGATATAGCCCTAGAAATGCTATTGCTGGGTCAAAAGGTATGCACTTTTTTTTTAGGCAATTGGGGTTAAATGACTTGCCCAGGGTCACACAGTTAGTAAGTGTCAAGTGTTTGATCTGAGGCCAGATTTGAACTCAGGTCCTCCTGACTTCAGGGCTGGTGCTCTATCCACTGCACCACCTAGCTGCCCCTGGTATGCAGATTTTTATAGCCCTTTGATTGCTCTCCAAAATGGTTGGATCATTTCACAACTCCACCAATATAATGCATTAGTGTTCCAATTTTCCTACATCTTCTCCAACATTTATCATCTTATTTTGTCATGTTGGCCAATCCGATAGGTGTTATGTGGAACCTCAGAGTTGTTTTGATTTGCATTTCTCTAATCAATAGTGATTTAGAGCATTTTTTCATATGACTGTAGATGGCTTTGATTTCTTCATCTGAGAACTGCCTGTTCGTATGCTTTGACCATTTATCAATTGGGGAATGACTTGCATTCTTATAAATTTGACTTAGTTCTCTATATAATTTAGAAATGAGGCCTTTATCAGAGAGACTGGTTGTAAAAATTCTTTCCCAATTTTCTACCTTTCTTCTAATCTTAGTTGCATTGGTTTTGTTTGTGCAAAAACTTTTCAATTTAATGCAAAGTTATCCATTTTGCTTTTCGTAATGTTCTCTGTCTCCTGTTCGGTCAT